ACACACGGACGTGGATGTCTTAATACATATACGTGCATACATCGACGTGCAAACAACAACGTGCATGGCGCTTTTGTACAGACGCTCGCACAAAACTGCAGTCTTGCTATTCTTGCTACAGTGTTCCGAGTGTGCATACAAAATTTCTAGCGATTCCACATTCAAACACGCGACGGTATTTTGCATACACATTGATGTTTTTGTTTGCGCGTTCATGTATGTGCGTACATGTTTTCAGACATCCACGTCCGTGTGTAACCGCCTTTTGGGCGGTTACACACGACACGGGCTAATATACGTGCATACATCATCGTGCAAACAACAACGTGCATGTCGCGTTTGTACAGACGCTCGCACAATACTGCAGTCTTGCTATTCTTGCTACAGTAATCCGAGTGCATACAAAATTTCTAGCGATTGCACATTCAAAAACGCGACGGTATTTTGCATACACATTGATGTTTTTGGTTGCGCGTTCATGTATGTGCGTACATGTTTTAAGACATCCAGGCCCGTGTGTAACCGCCTTTTAGAAGGAAAAAACAAATTCAACTTTTTCTATTTTGGTGTCATATCGAAGTCTTTTCGACACTAAAAGTAGTTTCGAAAAGAAGCTCTTTGTGACACTCCTTTTTTACTTATCGGAGGTTGGTGACACTGACTGACTGATGGCCATCAAACTGTCATTCGCTATTTTATAATAGAAGATTTCTATATTTGGCATGTAGTGTTACCAACCTAAACTATGAAATCAGGAAATATGAGAATAAAATTTCCAAGAAAAATTGGTTTTTTTTACTAAACAATACCAAAATAGAAAAAATAGTATAAAATATTCGTTTCATAAGACATTTTATCGCACTCGCCCTTTAGAAAACTCGCCTCCGGCTCGTTTTCTAATATAGGGCTCGTGCGATAAAATGACGTCTTATGAAACTTGTATTTTAATGTACTATTATGAAACTGCAGGGGGTTACAAAGATTCAAAAACAATTAGAAAACGGAAGTTTCATTTGTTTTGGTTTATCAAAGTGCGCCTGCGTATGACTAATATTTTCACGAAACTTTTGCTAGACTTTTATTTGCCGTGTCAAAACAGGAAAAAGCGAAACCATTGAGCGAAACCAAGAATAGTAAACTTACGAAATATTTCGGCAATAATTTCGTGAAGAAACTTTGCCGTGTAAAACGGCTCTTATGCGGTTAGTGCAAATAGTGTTAAGCCTAGTACTCATAACTGCGAAATTCGCATTTTTTTGACATTGCGTCGACAATTTGATGTTTCATGTGTGAATCAAACGTCAAATTGTCGAAGCAATGTCAAAAAAATGCGAATTTCGCAGTTATGAGTACTAGGCTTAAGGGCGGGTATTATAAAACTGCTTTGACAGTTAACTTGAAGTTAACTTTTTGAATAGGGAACTTGACAAAAAATTTAAACATGAAAATATTACTATAAATCATAAGAATACATTAACTAAAACCTATATGAGCGAAAAAAACAATTTTTTTTTGTCGCAAACGGCCACAATAAGGAATTGAAAATGCAGAAAAATTCAAATTATTTCCAGCGGGAAAAAACGCTCTGGTACTGGTCGTGACGTCATGTAGTATGATTTGTCAGTGTCTGTTAGCAACCGTCCATCATACCGCGAGTTCGTCTTGAGACACTGAGCACTCGGAGCATTTTCCGTCGTTTTTTCTTATGATGAGAAGAACAGGGATAAAAGAACAAAACAGCAACTCCGAGCGTTTACTCGAACTCTACATAATAAATACCTGTTAGCTGTGTTTATTTACGTTTTCCTCTGATTTTTTAAAATTTTATCAATATTAGAATTGGTTTACTTCGCTTAAATTCAATGATTAGCCTAGCATTATATAAATAAAACGATATACCTATTAATTATGACCGAAGAAGGAAATTCCAAAGGGCAATCCGCCAATCTATAATTTGTGATATGTTTATAGTAACAAAAGTAAGTAGGTATGTGCATTTGCCGAATGCTAGAGCAAAAAACACTGTACCCAACGTTGGGGCCAATGGTTGGACACATCGTGTGGCGCCGGCTTAACGCAAAATCATACTACGTGACGTCATCCAGATTTAAGGTCGTTTGAAATGTTTTTAATTCGCGCGAAACTTTAAACATTTTTCACCAAGTTATTATTGCGTTTTAGGGAATAATATTTGGGGAATACTCTTTCAAGGCATAAATAAATGATTTAAAAAAATTAAAAAAAAATTGTAAAGTTCCCTATTACATGTAATATCAGAAGTTAACTTTAAGTTAACTCTCAAAGTAGTTTTATAATACCCGCCCTAAGACGTTTGTTATTTCAGTGTAGGGTGCCCAATCTTGCACTACCTACACCTGCTCAAGAGGAGGTGTAACAAGTGCAAAATGGGGAGGGGGCAATAGTGTTGTTTTGTTGGCTGTCACTATATTTATGGACCTCGATTAATAGTAATTGATACGAAAATGCCTCTTGAATTTAATATCTGCTGTATACGAAGGCACCACAGTCACAACATTATTTCCTATGCATTTTCGTTTATTGCGCTTGTGGGAATTAAAAACTACTTCAATGAAAGTGGAAAGTGTTTTTTTAGCTGGAAGATAGGATATCTCCATCTTCTCTATAATTTCCGACAATAAAACCTTGTGAATTTTATTTTTTTCACTAGTATTACACATTTTTTCTCGGTTAGTTTCCACTTTCCGCTCCTCCTATCGCTACACGAACTGCACTAACGCGTTTGGTAGTTTTCCTTTACCCCGGTCGTTATGAGCTACACCTAAGTGCATCAGCAGTCTGCAGTAACCAATCCTACACTAAAATAACAAACAGACCTAATGAACTGGCCAGAACAATAAAAGATCCTTTCACACAGAAATCACAAACTAGTCAGAGCGAATTTCATTGGTCAAAAACAGTCAGAGAACTAGTTTCAACACTTTCAACCAATGAAATTCACTCCGACTGGTTTGTAATTTTTATTCGAACAGACCGTACGTTCGGCTTTTTATTTCAAATGGTGTGCCCTTGTTGGGATTATAATCGCTCTCGGAGGCCAGACGGGGAGCGCTCTGGGAGCAGTAAAGCCGAAAATGCTAATATTCATAAATCATGGCATAAGAGCTTACTGCAAGCTGAATGAGGAAGTTGCATAAAATTTTATTTTGATGCAAAATGTATTTAAGAGAAGCAAAATACTCTAGAAGTATATTTCCATATTCAAATCCTCTTATTTATACTGAACCACTAATAAATAATTAATTATTCAAATATTGAATATAACCAAGGGCGCGAAAACGCTCTCAAATTGGTTATGACGTCATGGAACGGTAAACAAGCATAAGTGTGGTTATGATAACGGGATACGTGAGCCACCGATAAGTTAGCTGGTATATATTATTTAGGGCGGGTATTATAAAACTGCTTTGACAGTTAACTTGAAGTTAACTTTTTGAATTACATGTAATTCCAGAAGTTAACTTTAAGTTAACTCTCAGAGAAGTTTTATAATACCCGCTCTAAAGCCTAGTACTCATAACTGCGAAATTCGCATTTTTTTGACATTGCGTTGACAATTTGACGTTTTATGCGTGTATCAAACGTCAATTTGTCGAAGCAATGTCAAAAAAATGCGAATTTCGCAGTTATGAGTACTAGGCTTTAGGGTGGGTATTATAAAACTGCTTTGACAGTTAACTTGAAGTTAACTTTTGGATAGGGTTGCCAACTTTGTTTTTTATTTTTCTGGACGAGGGTAATAAAAATTCAGGACATACGGTATAAATTCTGGACATTTTTATTATTGCAGAGAAAAATACCATTTACAAACTTAAATGAATAATTCGACAAAAAAAAACATACAATACACTAAAAAAAAAACTGTCCAACAAGAATTCTTTGGGTAAATAGGAACTAATAATTTAAAATTTTATTTCAAAAGTACGCAGATTAACAAATTATTTAAAGAATATGAAAAGTTAAGTACAGGTAGATACTTATAAAGGTCTGTTTCTGTTCTGCAGCTGCAGTAATCACAAACCAGTCAGAGCGAAATACAAGTTGCAAAATTCAGAAATTTTTCAATTCAGTATTAGTCCAAAATAATAAATTTCATTTTCAAGTAATGTATGATTTTCGTTATAAACCACCACCAGGCTTATAGCCGGCTTAATTTAACAGAATTCTTCATTGAGTTAAAAATTAAATACAATAGGCGTCCTGCAATAGGTTGTTACAGGACGCCAAACAATGAACCCCGAATGGTGGACGTCCACCGAAATGCAGGACGTTTGGCAACCCTACTTTTGGAATTACATGTATTTTCAGAAGTTAACTTTCAAAGTAGTTTTATAATACCCGCCCTTACATGAAATTCAAAAAGGTTTTTGAATTACATGTAATTCAAAAAGTTAACTTCAAGTTAACTGTCAAAGCAGTTTTATAATACCCGCCCAAAATCAACGTAACACTATCTTTGTTTACTGAATGGAAAATGACATTGATAGACATAATCGCATAAACCAATGACAAAACACAATGGGTAAGAGAGAGAGGGAGTACAGAGACTTATTTTGACGGATACCGTCTTGTGACGTCATTCATTTATTAGTGCGTTTTGGCGCGAAGAGAGTTATTATGAATTTCTATATTTTTTTAAACAAAAACTATTAGTTGAAAATTCAAAATTCATGTGGCAAGTGACTTTTTACAATGTGAAAAATTCAATAACAGAATAAAAAAAAAATCTGCAAATTCCTCATTACGAAACCAACTATACGCACACGCTGTGAACGTGTCCTACTACCTCCAAGGTTACACCAGCGTAGCGAATGGTAAGAAAAGAAAGCGCTATGCCCGAGTTGTCAGGTCAATGACACGTCGTGACGTCACACCTACCTGTTGTTTGGGCTGTCGTGTCGTAGTCGTGGCTTTTCATGTTATTTTTTTGAGTATTTGACATTCCATTCTGTACCTGTGTGTAACGTGTAACCTATAATTTTCTACCAATTTTACAATTTTATTCGTATTTGTCAAGTTTTGTGTTACCTTAACGTATAAAGATACTTGGAGTCTTTTTTAACTCTGCTTACAACAGTTATTGGTAAGAATATTATGTAGTTTCATATATTATCTAAGTTATGCTCCAAGAAATTTGTGTTTTGTATTCAAATGGATTTGTAGATTACAGTAACATATTGTACAAAGTTATAGTAGACAAATCCAGTTTTGTATTATCTGTTTACAGCCCAATTAAAAGACAAAGCCAAAATAGATAGAGAAATATATTCCTGACTGAAGGAAACTATTTGTTTTGTTTTTTCCCTCGATTCCAATTGGTTTTAGCAAAGTTTATGTTTTAGTCTTAGGGCCAAATTATGGACCAACTAGTAAGTATCTGGTTGTTACCTAGCAGGTTCTTTTTATTCTCTAGTGTATAGAAAGTACCTGCTAGGTAACAACCAGACGTTTACTAGTCAGTCCATAATTTGGCCCTAAGTCTACTTCTTCGAGTTTGGTTTTGTGTAGAAGTTGAAGTAAAAACTATTCAATTAGAAAAATAGTTTTCATTTGCATGACACTACTAGAAACAAGATTGTATAAAGGCATTATGATTACTTAGTGATGTAAAATTTCCAAAACATTCAAAAGCCGCAAACATTGTCGGAAACTTTCCGGGAATATTGGAAACTTTCGGGAACTTATGGAAATATTGTTTTTTCTTTTAATTTGTAGCTAAATCAAACAAATCGTAGTAAGCTTTATTTACCTATTATCATAGTGTACTGACTATAGACTATAAACCAAGAAAAACACTCTTTTTTTTCTGTAAGATCAGCTAAAAATGGAACTATTGTAGTAAAAACACTTTTATGGACAGTTGAATAATAAGGCTTTAAAGGAAAAGCTGATCCGATTAACCCAATCTCTCAGCTCTTTATTTTTTATTTTTCTCAATGAAGATTATTTTTGAAAAACACAAACTGTAGGTACAGTCGTGAGCACAAAAAGCGAGACACCTGTTTTTTCCAATGGCCAATTGTCAATTCAGGCACACCCATAAAATCGCACTCGCACCCTGTGCGTTATTCCTGAACTCAGCCCTGCTATAAGACTATCCAAAACACGTGACACAAATATGGCCGACAAGAGGCACACAATCATTTGACACAAACACAAACCATAACGTCATTAGGTTATGTCATTAATGATCATAATCAAATACTCATTTTCTATTGTGTGCGTCTCAATTTTTGGCCGTTTTTACCCAATTACGGAATCCCTATTGTTTGGGCAAGATTGCTCTACCTACATTTCACTTGGATAGGCAGGACCTACCCTTAAAATGTGAAAATATTTAGGGCGTCCCTAATCACCCGGTTGAATATTTTTTTTTTTATTAATCCGAAATTTCCGGATTATTAATTATTATTATTCGTCCGGATTGTTTATTTACTTGTGTACCAATTTACCAGTAGTCCAGTACACTTATAACCAGTTTAAATGAACTGCAACGAAACTAACCAAAAATATGCAAACTAGCCCAAACTAACCCGTCCATGTAATGCCTACTAGTCCTTGCATTGTCAAAAAAATTCTAATATACCGGGTGCCCACGAGATTACTTTCCGGCTGCCATTTTTTCATCGATATCAACGAAACTTAGTAGGCTTGATATTCTAACAAAACGCCATTTTTGTGCATCCACGACAAGTCTTCCTGACATCCGGTTTTACCGGAAATTACCGAAACTTTTGATTTTCAAATGGCACACCCTGTATATTTTTTGTTTTTTCGATTCTACAGATCGTTTTACGTCCTAGTGTACCACTTTTAAATCGAGTTTTGTCCAAATTTCGTTTTCAAATTAAATTTTAAGTAGAAAAAAAAAATTACCTACATAATAAATCAAAAATGTTTAAACGAAAATTAAGAAAAATGTCGGAGTGTATTATATCGTTGGATTCGCTTTAAAATACTGCATTTAGTGATGTTGTGAAAGTGATATGTTTCTATTCTAGTTTCTGAGCTAGGGCAAAAATACTAAAATAATGAAGTTTACAGCCCTCTATTAAAAAATTTTACAAAAATAAAATTGAGTTTGTATTTTTCTGAAATTAAGTAAAGTATGTAGAGTCATTTTAGGATGATCATGGCACTCTAATTGAAAAATTTAACTTTAATTAAAAAACAAAATTTAGAAAAAAATCGATTCAAAAGTGGTGCATAAGGACGTAAAACGATTTGTAGAATCCGAAAAACAAAAAATATACAGGGTGTGCCATTTAAAAATCAAAAGTTCCGGTCATTTCCGGTGAAACCGGAAGTCAGGAAAACTTGTCAGAAATGCATAAAAATGACGTTTGGTTAGAATATCAACCCTACCAAGTTTCGTTGATATCGATAGATAAATAAAAAAATGGCAGCCGGAAAGTGATCTCATGGGCACCCGGTAGAATTTCAAAAAATAGTATATTGTTGTATTAGGAGTAGAAGCTTTACTTTTTTGTGCTGAAGCAGTAGGTTTGCGAGCCGAACGTAGTGAGGCTTGCAATACTGCTGAAGCTGCGGCTTCTCGCTGCGTCACATTTTAAGGCCGAAAAAAAATAAAAAAGGAAATTTCGATTTTGATCAGAAAAAAATTGTGGGTATCCGACACGAGACCACTTTTTCGCCTATAACTCTGCTATTTCTTAACCGATCGTTTCGAGTCATATCTCATTTGAAAGAGGATGAAATTACCTACAAAATATTTTTTTTTATGGAGTTTCCAGGCCGTTTTTGTCTTTGAGATATTGGCCGTCAAAGTTAAAATTTATTGTAATTTTGTCAAAATTTTCGAGTCGATTTTCTCGAAAACGGTGCTCCATGGAGGGATACTTCTTATAGGCTTTTTTATAGTACTCGACGAGATCTATAAGTTTTATATTTAAAGTTTTTCTCCCAAGCTTTTCGTTTTCGAGTTAGGACGGTTTGAAAATTTTTAAAAAAAATTCGAATTTCAAAAAAAAAAAATTCTATCGGATAGTGGAGCAAAAAATACGTTAAAAAGTAAATTCGACACTCCTCGCTACGATACATCTTAAGGCCGAAAAAAAAATAAAAAAGGAAATTTCGATTTTGATCAGAAAAAAATTATGGGAATCCGACACGAGGCCACTTTTTCGCCTATAACTCCGCTATTTCTCAACCTATCGTTTCGAGTCAGATCTCATTTGAAAGAGGATGAAATTATCTACAAAATATTTTTTAAATGAGATTCCAGACCGCTTTTGTCTTTGAGATATTGGCCGTCAAAGTTGAAATTTCTTGTAATTTTGTTAAAATTTTTCGAGGTCGATTTTCTCGAAAACGGTGTCCCCTGGAGGGATACTTCTTATAGGCTTTTTTGTATTACTCGACGAGATCTATAAGTTTTACATTTGAAGTTTCCTGCGTGATCGTCCGGGAGAAAATAGAAAATTCAAATTCGAAATTGGCAGCGCGGCGCCAGCGCCAGCACAATGGGGCCTGGGGGGATAGGGAGTAATGATTGTGTCATTGCAGGGGTACATGGTGTATTATTTTCCGGACGAATAATAATAATTTTATAATTTATTTGTTTTATTGTCTAACAGGATAAACCCAATAACAAGACAATTATAATAATCTCAAATTAAAGACTAGACAAATGTTATTGTAAACTTAAAACTAGGTTTTGACATATGCTTCATATACAAATACATGAAGTAACTAACTATAGTTTGTAATTAACAATCAAGAGAAAACAGATGTAAATTAAGTATATTAAGCAGCATCAACAGCTTCCCCCAGCAAAACCCCAGGACAAAAAGTTAACCCCAAGCTAATCAGCAATATTCCACAAAAATGCAAGATTCAATAATCAATCAAAACAATCACTAGAGCAATTTAATTCAGGAGAGCATTTTTTATCTGTGATATAATTTTAGTTTTAAATGACTTTACAGTACCATTGAAAAGATCCAACTCAAGTACAATGGGTATTAATTGATTATGCCATGAGCAGGCTCTATATATAGGCGCATTTTTGGCGAGATTAGTATGACAGTTTTCCAGATAAAATTTATGGTGAGTTCGGGTGTTTGCTGCAGGAACCAAAAAATTGAGGCAACTTAATATTTCAGCCGAATCAATTAAATTATTGCATATTTTGAAAATGAACAATTGACTGGCAAGAATTGTACTTTGCTTAAGTGATAAAAAGTTAAATCTTTCTAGTAATAATTTGTGGTCATATCCCCGTGGAGGGTAAATGCCATCCTGCTTAAAGCTTAGGTACTTGAGAAATCTGCGCTGGACATATTCGAGCCTGTCAACATGTACATCATAACTAGGAAACCATATCAGAGCTGCATATTGTAATTTTGATTTTATCAATGAGTTGTACAAGGCAATCAAGCCCTCCGTATTTGTGAAATCTTTTGTAGACCTAATAATAAAGCCAAGTGTTTTCAAAGAAGCTTGAACGATTTGGTCAATATGTTTATTAAAGCTTAGTTTACTGTCGATAATTACCCCAAGGTCTCGTATGGAATCTACACTTGAAAGATTGGTATTTTCAAGTCTATATGCAAACTTCACTTCATTATGAAGTTTGGAAATAGTCATAGAACGGCATTTATTAATATTTAGCGGAAGTTTATTTGTGATACACCAAGAAGACAGGGAGTCAATGTCGTTTTGTAATTCTGAGCAGTCCTGTATGGTGTCAATAATTCTAAAAATCTTCAGATCATCAGCAAACAGTACACAGTCAGATGAGATAGTGTCGGTGATATCATTCACAAAAATAGCGAATATTAGAGGAGCTAGATTGCTTCCCTGAGGAGCGCCACTTGAAGCGCTGAAGTCAGCAGAACGAAAACCGTTGTACTCCACAAACTGTGTTCGCCCACTCAAATATGAGATAAATAGATTCACCAGGTTCCTATGAAACCCAATGTTGTACATTTTCCGGGCAATGAGACCATGATCCAACTTATCGAAGGCCTTGGAAAAGTCAGTATATATGACGTCAAGTTGTTTCCTATTATTGATAGCTTGATAAGCTCTTTGTAGGAAACTTGTAAGATTTGTGATAGT